TTCAATAAATATTCAATCAGCCTGTTCAAATTTTTGATAAATACTCAATAAATATCTAATAAATCAATTTAAAATTTAAACTCAATTATATTTTCAATAATAATTTTTTCATATGCACAATATCAAACGAGCATAAATTTTGCGGTGTAAATCAATGCAGGGTGGCTACGGTGCGACAAACAGGGTACATACTCATGGTCTCCTAGTGGGTGGTGTGCAGGGGAGGAAGTAAGCGTCAGTGGAGTAACAACTAACAAGGTGGTGGTTAGTCGTGGAGATGGGGTTTGCTTGGGTAAGGCAGTTGTTGGACCAGAAAGTTTGAATCGCTAATACATCAAATGTATTCAAAATGTTGCTTTTGATCTGTTTGGAACAAAGACAAAAAAACATCAAAGCCCAAACTCCATTATATAAATTGTGTTTTTCACCTCATTTTTAAATATAAACCAAAATGCTGCTTTCATAGAACTTTTCTTATGTTCCACTTGAGGTTGTCTTTCCTTTCCAATCTAAAGAAGACTAATACTTGTGGTATTGTATTTAATTTCATCCAGTTTGTTTTTTTCACCAGTTATTAATTATATATATTCAATCACCCTGAAAATTGATATATATGACTCATATGAATAAAATGTTAAATTTAATGGTTAGTTTTTGAAATTATTCATTAAAGGATAATGTTTTGAAAGTTGGATTGAGAATTTAATTTTTTTGAGAGTTGAGTTTAATGTGTGTCATCGTTTATTTTTTTATTTTTAACTAATAAAAATTCTGCATAGCCATACTAAATAAAACCTAAAAGGCCAAAGCCCCTATTTGCACCCTCCATTTATTTGTTTTCCGTAGTCAACACCTTCCAGAATTTTTCCTTTCTATTCACACCCTCAACTTTTCAAAATCCGTGAAAAACCTAATATTTTAACGGGCCGTCACGGCACCGTTAAAAAATATATTACGTGGCACCCAAAAATTGATGTAACACTATGTAACGTTAATAATCTAACGTGAATCTTTTTTTTTTATGATGTGGACGCCACATATACAGTAAAAATATTAAAAAATTATAATATTATCAAACAGTTACATAAATAGCATTTTTTCATTTTTTTTCTTTCCCCCCTCATCCTCGGCATCATCTTCACCATCCTCGCGCAGGAGCCCGAGGAACCCGAACTGGGTTCCTGGCGAGGAACCCAGATTTGGGTTGGGTTCCCCGCGAGGAACCCAGATCGGGTTCTTGTGCAAGAACCCAGCCCAGATCTGGGTTCCTCGTGTGGAACCCAACCCGACTGGGTTCCTCGTGTGGAACCCAGTTCGGGTTCCTGCGCGGAACCCAGTTCTGGGCTGGGTTCCTGCGCAGGAACCCAGATCCAAC